GGTGTTCCCTCTTCTCTTTTCTGTAGGATATTATGTAGAATTGGTGCTAATTCTTCTTTAAACAACTAATATAATTCTTTAGTGAGGTCATCTGGGCTTAAAGTTTTCATTTCAGATTTTTAAATTATGAATTTGATTTCTTTCATAATTATATAGTCATTCAGATTATTTCATATTGGGTAAATTTTGGCAGTTTGCGCTTTTATAATGATTGGTCCATTTCATCTAAGTTTTCCGATTTGTATGTGTATACATAGTAGTAGTCCCTTATTATCCTTTTCATGTCTGCAGTCTATAGTAGTATCTCCCTTTCATTCAGAGTATTGATAATTTGCATCTTCCCTTTTTCCTTTGTCAGTCTTGCTAGAGATTTGTACATTTTATTAATTTTATTAAAGAACTAGATTTGTATTGGGTTTCTCTATTATTTTTCTCTCTTTAATATTATTATGTTTATTGATACAAATATTTGTACATCTTTATGCAGTACATATGATATTGTGTTAAATGCATAGACTGTGAAAGTATCAAGTTAGGGTACTTGGGGTGTCCATTGTCGCTAATATTTATCATTTCTATATGTTGGGAACATTGCAAGTCCTCTCTTCTAGCTATTTTGAAATATGCAATACATTGTTGTTAGCTATAGTCACCATATACTCTGCTATCAAACTGCTTTCAGTATTACTGATTTTGATTATTATTTTCTTCCTTCTGCTTGCTTTGGGTTTATTTTATTCTTATTCTTGTAGGTTCCTTAAGTGGGAGCTTAGATTATTAATTTTAGATTTTCCTTCATTTCTAACACAAAAATTTAGTTTTATACATTATCATCTCAGCACAGCTTTACCTGTGTCCCACAAATTTTGATACATTGTATTTTCACTTTCATTCAGTTCAGTGTAGTTTTTATTTCTTTTAAGACCTCATTAACCCATGAATTTGTTTTAAAGCATGCTTTTTAATTTCTAAGTGTTTGTAGATTTTCATGTTGTCTCTCTGTTACTGTTTTCCAATTTGATTCCATCATAAAGAAAACTCATTTATTATTTGAATTCTTTTAATATTTTGCAGATTGTTTTATGACTGAAAATATGTCTATATTGGTATGTATTTCTTGGGTGTTTGAAGTAACGTAAATTATATTATTTTCAGGTGGAGCAATCTATACGTTTTATTTAGGCCTTATTGAAACCTGTCATTGGGCTCTTCTACATCTTGCTGATTTTCTCTGTAGTTGTTCTATCAGTTGTTGAGAGAGGGTGTTGAAGTCCCCAACTATAAATGTGAATTTTTCTATTTCTCCATTCAGTTCTAAAAACGTTTGCTTCCTATATTTGCAGGTCTTCTGTTTAAAGCATACACATTTAGGAGTACTATGTCTTATTGGTGGATTGACACTTTCAGCATTATGTAATGTCCCTATCTGTCCCTGGTATTTTATTTTACTATTATTTTTTTGCTCTGAAGTCTGCTTTATCTGATATTGCTAGAGCCACCTCTGTTACTTTTTAAAATTAGTATTTGCATGGTGTATTTTTTTCCATCATTTTACTTTCAGCCTTTCTTTCTTTTTTTTTTTTTTTTTTTGAGACGGAGTCTCACTCTGTCGCCCAGGCTGGAGTGCAGTGGCCGGATCTCAGCTTACTGCAAGCTCCGCCTCCCGGGTTCACGCCATTCTCCTGCCTCAGCCTCCCGAGTAGCTGGGACTACAGGCGCCTGCCACCTCGCCCGGCTAGTTTTTTGTATTTTTTAGTAGAGACGGGGTTTCACCGTGTTAGCCAGGATGGTCTCGATCTCCTGACCTTGTGATCTGCCCGTCTCGGCCTCCCAAAGTGCTGGGATTACAGGCGTGAGCCACCGCGCCCGGCCTACTTTCAGCCTTTCTAAATCATTATATCTGAGGTGAGCATCTTGCAACAGCGTATCATTGGATCATGTTATCTTCTTTGCCAATTTCTGTCTTTTAATTGGTATGTTTAGACCATTTTCATTTATTGTATTTATTGATAAATTAGTGCTTAGTTCTGCCAATTTATTTTTGTTTTCTGTTTGTTCTCTGATTTTTTGTTTTTCTATTTTCTTTTTTCTGACTTCCTGTGGGTTACTTGAACAATGTTTAGAATTCCATTTGTTTCGTATATAGCATTTTTGAATCTATCTTTTTGTATAGTATTTTAAGGGATCACTCTAGGTATTACATTATATATATACCTAACTTATAATAATCTACTGGTGTCAACATTTTGCCAGTTTCAGTGTAGAAACCCTACCTCTCCTTTCGCCCCTTTACTCTCCTCTATTTATAATATAATTGTGTTAAATATTCCTTCCACATACACTTACAGACACATCAGACAATGTTATAATTCATGCTTTAACCTTCAAACATAATTTGGAAAACTCAAGAGGAGAAGGAAAGTCCATTACATTTACCCATAATTTTTTCTCTTTCCATTGGTCTTTATTCCTTTCTAATGTTTAATATTCTTTCTTTTATCATTCCTTTTCTGCTTAGAGAATTTTCTTTAGATATTCTCTTAGTAGAGGCATGTTGTTGACTAATTTTGTTAGTGTCTCTTGATCTGAGAATGTCTTGATCTCCCTTTCATGTCTGAAGTGGTATCTTCACTGAGTATAGGGTTCTGGGTTGACAGTTCTCTTTATTCAGCACTTGAAAAATATTATGCTACTTCCTTCTGGAATCCATGGTTTATGACCAAAATTTCACTCTCATCCAAATTATTTTTCTTCTATAGGTAAGGTATCATTTCTCTTTCACTGCATTCAAGGCTTTTCTCTTCATGTTTCAGAAATTTCGTTATTACAGGTCTTGGAGTGGATTTCTTTATATTTATACTGTTTGAGGTTCACTCAGCTTCTTTAATTTCCAGATTTATGTCTTTTGTCAAATTTGGGGAGTTTTCAGCAATTATTTCTTTGAATAGTTGTTTTTTTTTGTTTGTTTGTTTGTTTGTTTGTTTTTTTGGTCTCATTCCATTCTCTTTCTCATCTCCTTCTGGAATTCCAGTGACATGAAAGTTAGATCCTTTGTTTGTAATCCTACATGTCCTTGAGTCTATGTTTATTTTTTTTCCAGGATGTCTTCTCTGTGCTGTTCAGATTGGTCATTTCTATTGTTCTATCTTAATTCCTTCCTCTGTTCTTACCATTCTCTTCTTAATTCGATTCACTGAATTTATTTCCATTATTGTATTTTTCATTTCTAAAATTTCCATTTGGTTCTTTTTTATATGTTCTATTTCTCTGCTAAGAATTCTGATTACTTTGCTGAGACTTTCTGTATTTTTTTCATTTGCTTCCAAGCATGGTTGTAATTGTTGGTTGAAGCACTTTAATGATTACTGCTTTAAAATCCTTGTCAGGCAATTCTGACGTCTGTGTCATCTTACTGTTGGCATCTGCCAATAATATTTTCCATTCTGATTGATATCTTACTGGTTCTTGGTATGACAAGTGCTTTGCTACTGAAACTTGGGCAGTTTGGATATTGCATTATAAGACTGGATCTTATTTAAATTTTCTGTTTTAGCTGACTTCCCCTGACACTGCTCTGGCAGGGAAGGGGGGCACCATCTTATTCTTCATTGACATCAGGGAGGGTGGAGCTCCTCATTACTGCTGGGCAGTGGTGAGAATTCCAACTTCCCACTAGGCTTTTTCTGATACTACTCTAGTGGGGATAGGGAAGGGCACCTCATTACTGCTATGTGGGTGTGGAGTCTAGGCTCCTCATTTGGCTTTTGTTGATGGAATATAATGGGACTGCATTTTCTTCTATGGTGTTTGGCTGGAGCAGAGCAGTCATTGTCTAAAAGTTTTCTGTCTTGCTAGGCTACCTCTTTCCTGGTCTTTTGGCTAGAAAGAGCAGGCTTTTGTTGGGGCTTCTTTGTTAGTGCCCAATGGCATTCTGGGTTTCTGGCTTCTTCAGCTCCAAGTCTGGTATATATGAGGCAAAAACAAAATCCAGAGAACTCGCCACTGCATCATTGCTCAGGTCCCAAGGTCCCTAACCAGTATACTTTTTTCTTTCCACCTTTTAATGTCTTATTTTGTTTGTTTTATATATAACTGTCCAGAGGTTTTAGTGATACTCAGTGAGAGAATGGGGAAAAGTACTTCTCCATCTTTCCAGAGGCAGAGGTTTGGACATTGAGATTTTAGAGCCTGATGCTGTACTGCCAACATGGCAGTTTATGGGAAGGTTTATGGGAAGTAGAGCTGTCCTTATATATTAATGTCTTAGTGGAGCTCTTATTTCATGTTTACATCATGAAAAACAAAAAGAAATGAAACTTTACCTGGGTTTGCATATGTCTGCTTATCCGTCATGGAGAAGCAGCCATGATCATAGCCTGCTCAGTCAGTTTCGTGTAAATCAGTGCACCAGGGTTTCATGAGCCCCTTTCAATATCCATTGTTCCCTTCCTGTATCTGTCAGGCTTTGAACTGTTAGCTCACTTGGCTGTATCCTAACAGTGCCACAGTTGGTGGCTGCTGCTTCTATGAACCATAAGACTTACTCTAGTGGAACTGAAGAGGCCCTAAGCCATCACTTAATTTAGCCACCATGTTTTGATATAAAGAAATTGCATCTCATAGAACAGAGGAAGCTTTCCCTGGATCCCACTGCATATCACACAAAAGCAAATCCAGACCTAGGACCCAGATACCATGCCTATAGGCCCAGTGTTGTTTTAGTCACATGAAGCTGCTCTTCCATCCACCCCTCTGCCTTCCAGTGAACTTTGTTCTTTCCTCTGGTCAAGGACTGTCATTTTATCCCAGCCAACTGTCTCACAGAAATGCCTCTCATCCTTGGGGGTTGGGGTGCTCAATGAGGGTGGTGGGTGGGAAGAAGGGAAAAGGAATGTGGCTGACTCCACACAAACCTGTCTTCAGAGTGAAAGTCTGTGATTCACGGGGTCAATGGTCTCATCTTCATATCTGAAAGACAGTGTACTTTTTGTCTCCCTAAGCCCTGTGTCTAGGTCGTTTGGGAAACGCCTTGGAGAGTCAAGAATAAAATTGCAGGTCAAACAATGGATGACTGGAAAAGTCGGCTTGTAATCAAGAGCATGCTTCCCCATTTCGCCATGGTGGGAAATCGTCAGGAGCCCAGAAAGCTCCAGGAATCGGTCAGACAATGGGCCATGGGGGGAGGGGGGTGTTGAATGCTTCTAATCTTAAACTTGAACGTAAGATGTGTTATTGAAATTTTCTGTGCAAACTTGGTGGCAGGGGTCCAACTCAAAATATAAAGAACTCAAATGTGATCTAGAAGAGATCTAGGAGATGAGCTGATCCCACCCCTTGTGGGTTTCTAGAGGAGCTGGAAATACAGTCTAAGGCTCCATATGGACTCCCAGTCTAGTAGTGATCACTGCATTGCACTCATTCAATAAGAAAAATGAGGAAGGCTGAGGAGAGGGAAGACGAGGTTACTTTTTCTCTTAATAGAAGCCAGTCAGAATGGCAAGCACTAGATATATCGCACGAGCTTCCTAGTATGACTGAGAACAAAAAGCTAGTGAGTAGGGCACAGAGAGGGCTTCCCGTTCAACTTTCTGGCCCTGTTGTCCTTTTAAAAATTCATCTGACACACTTCTACTTTCCTCTCTGGGAACTCAGATATCATCCAAGTGTTCTGAAACTCAGGATTAGGGATTCTAGTGGTAGTTCTAGGAGCAGGAAGATGATAGAAGGGACTATGAGAGCCATTGACTAGTTTAATTTGACAATAAAAGCCGGCAACACCACCAATCTACCAAGATTAGCTCTGTTAGCAGGAATTGCAGCAAACACAATAGCTATTATCTCAGGGTATTAGGGCCACAGAGGAGTGGCTTGCTTAATCTCTGAAATTAATAGAGCAGAGAGGAAATGGCTCTTACAGAGCCGTGGGTCGGCTTCCTTCCTTTTCATAGAACTGGAAGCCCTGGGCTCTGAGGTAATGCCATTTCACATAACTAGAGGGCCTGTCTTCTCCAATTCCCAGGGCAATCCACTTTCAGCAAGTCAGCTTTCTATTTATTTTAGAATTGTGATATGTGCACAGATGTGGAAGGAGGCGATTGAAATCTTGTTTTCTCTTTGTTTCCTCATTGTCAACCACCAACAGTGTATTGAGAATGTGCTATCAAGTTGAGCATGTAGACATTTACAAAACTGTTTACTGCAGTCACCAGTTCTCACAGAGATTGCAATCAGGTGGGATGGCAGAGATAGAGACGTTACTTGACCAGCAGACGGTCCAAATTTCCAGGCCTTAGGCCTCTTCTAGAAAGAAATCTCTAACCTCCATTCTAATTACCCTTTATATTTCATGCTTCTCTCTTATGATCAACAATTGAGTCAGTAAAGAAAAACCTAATAATGCTCCCAGAGTCCATGATCAGTTTTAGCATGACTTTAAATTTCTCTTTTGTTTCCCACTTGTTTCCATTCACTTGAGCCAAACTGTAGGAGAAAAGGTTGATAGACTGTGGATGCAGGGGTCCTCTTCCCCTTCTCCCCAACTCCTCCAACACTCTTAAAAAGTGTGACCAGTAAGTAACTGCTTTGGTTTTGATCAGTGCACAGTTGAATGCACAGATTCCAGTGGGGGCTGTCCTTAGAATAGGTCCTTGGAGTGGCCATCTGTGCGTTTACTCTGGAGAAGTTGTCATTGCTTACCTCATTTCCGGGCTTGGCTTCTCTTTGCAGATGGCCTTTAGAGCCCTTTGTAAACTTTGCCAAAAATTCACATTCATTACTCTAGAGTCACACTTTGGACTTGATCAAGATCAGCCCTCTGCCTCCTCTATGCCACACCTCATTCTCTGAAAGAGTTCCCTGTTGGGTTCTGAGTGGCTTGACTCTTTCTAAAACTTCAAGCTGTCCTAGACCAAGAATTCACCCCAGTTGAGGAGATCAAAGATTTTTAAAAATTTGTCTTAGGCTCCAAAAGCAACTCTCTCAGATGGTCTTCTTCACAGTTGAAACAGCATTGGATGACACTGAGAGAGCCCACTCCTTTGACTGGACATGACAGGTGCTGCTGTACAGTATCCTTGTAGTCTCAGAAAGGTACCCAGTGCTAATATGAAACTGCTGCACACACTGAGGATCTCAGCATCTGGGTGCTTGTGGACTGAGGTTAACCAAATAAAAGCAGAATGGCCTGTGAGTCCGCCAAGAAACCTGCTGTCCAAACAAGTTGCTATAAGGCCTGGAAGGTGAGTGGCCGAAGCAGGTCCTTTGCAAGAGCTGGGCTTGCATTTCCAGGGTGTAGCCTTAGCTGGATCTCAGATGTTTCCCTTGTTTGTTCTCCTTCTGACACTTCATAACAGCCAGGGATGACACCCTGAACCCTAGTCCCAGGAAACCCTGTGCATCTGGAAGCATATTTCTCGCACCACTCTCCCTCATCCTGAAAGCATCGCTAAGAGAGATTTGCTTCAGGCATTCAGCTTGACTGGTTCTCTTGTTCTTTCCCAGAAAACAAACAAACAAACAAAAAACATGTTTCAAATCAATCTTAAAATAAACTGATACCAGTCCCAGAGGAGAGTTCTCTTTAAACAGTCCTTGAATTTACATGGAAATAATTGTGAGCTCCCTTGAAGGAAAACGCGCATCTCACGTAACAGTTGTTCTTGGCCTAAGACTAGGGCTCAGAACACCAGGGTTTTAGTCTTGCAGCTACTCCTCACTAGCTATGAGGCTTTGTTCATCCTTTGCCCTCCCTGAGAACAAAGTTCAAATGAACCAAAAGTAAGAATAACCACCTTTAATTCGGCATTGACTAGGTGCTAGGCACTTTACTAAGCATTCGTGGGGCATTATCTCCTGTAATCCTCATGATAACGCTGGGAAGAAGCTATTATCATCTCCAGGAAACCGAGACTCAGAGAGGTTAAGCAATTTGACCAAAGTCACAGATAGAAGAAAGTGACAAACTCAGAGACCAGTGTCATCACCACTATACTCTAATGCATATTGAAAACTACAAAACGCTGAATACATATCAGGCAGGGGCCATCACCATAAGAAATCTCAGTAATGCAAGTACCTTTTCAGCGTCTGTTCATTCATTTAATAGTGTGACTGCTTAATGACTCTGGCGATCTGGGGAACAGAAGAGTTTGACTTTTTGAACATTTGAGACTCAGTGTGCATGTCACACGCCATCTCTGTCTCAGTCTACACCTCACCATAAGTGGCAGTTTCCTCCAGCTCGGAGCAGGCACCTATTCCCTTCATAAGGCAGCTCCTAGACAAAACGGGGGTGTGCAGGACATGAAATGTTCAGTTGGAGGAGGAAGGGGACACAGTGCTCTTTGCACATCTTCTGTGTTCAGCCATTTAATGTTAAGAAGCGATTCACTCTACAGACTACAATGGGATGCCGTGCCCAGTATTTCTTCTGAGCTTCCCAACCAGTCAGTGGTTGGGCAGGGTTGGGGGATTATTATTATTCTCCTTCTTTATGGATAAAGAGAATAAAGTCTGAGAAATTCAGTGACTTTCAGAAGGATGGCCATCCAGAAGGTGGGGCGCTACGTCAAGGGTCCTCATTTGGATGGCCCCAAGTGCAGTGTGCTTTCAGTCTACAATATGGCGAAAAACAACCCCTCAGCCCACATCTTTCTCACCTCTAAATGCAAGGAGGGCTGAAGAACGGGGAGAGAGGAGCCCTTAGTGTAACAGGGTATGTGGACATTTGGATGGCTACAAAAGTACTGGCCCCATTCTGTCGGTCATTTTTCTTTAGACCGGTGACCTTAGGCATACCCAGTAGGAGGAGCTCTAGTCACCTCCTCCCTTGGTGTGTATGTGATGGGGTTCAAGATTTGTGCCCATCAGCTTTGGAGGCATATACTTCTTGCAAAAAAAAAGTGCTGGGCTCAGGAAGGAGACCTCAGACTTGATCCAGGGTTGGAGCAAGCTCTTTGTGAGACTTTGAGCAGGTTTCTTTCTTCTTGAGGTCAGAGGGCATGGGTATGAGCTCTAAGGGCTTGTTTATCTCTGGCCTCCTGCTACGTTTCCAGGGTCCCTTCTCTGTGCCCAGCCCTGTGCTAGATCTTGAGCCCCAGGAATTCATAGTCTAGGGGCAAATTATTCCCAGGCTTCCTCCACTGGGAACAAATCTATCTTACTCTGTAGTTCTTGGTGAACCCTGGAGGCAAGTGGTTGAGCATCTCTCTTGTGCAAGGTACTTTGTGCACATTAGCTCATTTGCTTCTGTGTCACAGAGATTGATATTTCCACTTCCCCAGGGTGGAGACTGAGACTCAGAAAGGATGGAGACTTTCCCAATGTCACACAGGCAGGAAGTTGTAAATTCAGATCTCAAACTCGGGTGCCCTGCCTCCAAAGCTCTTCCTACCCTGATGCTTTCCCCTCCCAGATTAGAAGCTCAGGTATCTCCGGGGCCTTCTGCAGGCCAGGCACTGTTCTCATTGCCTTTCATTCCAGTGGCAGAGACAGCCCATAAACAGGTAAAGAGTAGAAGCACATTTACTTCATTCTGGTAGCTCTCTGGGACCTTCTGACTGACCAGCATTGTCCACTGCCAAGCCTGGCAGAAAGCTAGGCTGCTTTAAAACCCCATGCAGGGGCAGTCAGCTGGGAACAGAGTGAGTGGTCGAAACAGCTCCCTTAGAAGCCTCAAGAGAAAACCCAGATTCAGAGGTTTGAGTCTTTGCCAGCATCCCCTACTTCATGCAGGCTGAAGGCACGGCACAGGTGCAAATCTGGCCCCAAGAGAGGGGAGCTCATGTGTATGGGCCCCCTTCCAAGACCCAGGTGATCTCAGGGGTCAGTTAATCTAGAGGCAACTGTCCCTGCCATTTACTGAGAACTTGCATGAGCCTCTGGGCCTCAATCTGCACATCAGTAAAGTAGGGTTAATAACTCTGCTCTTTGCCTGCGTCAGGGTTTCTGGGATGGTGATGAACAAGGTATGGTTGTGCGTGTGTTCCAAACCACACAGGGCATGGTCCTAAACCACACACTGCCGTGAGCACGTTTTTTTTTAATGATCAGAGGTTGGCATTGGCTCAGAGGATTTTTGCCATCAGAAGGGTAATGGGAAATGTGTGTCCTGACCCCTGAGGATCCCACAGTCTCATCAGCAGCTCCACTGCACTGAGGA